AATGAAAAATATATCTTTTATTACTATTTAATTTGAGTAATGTAGTTGAAATAAATTAATAAATACACTTTCGTTGAGCATTTATTTTAAATAATATTATCAGAATTACGAATAATAATAAAGATTTATTTAAGCTGATTGGATTAAATATAATAGCAGTTTAAGGAGGTTTGGGAGAAAAGTTAAAAGTATATAATAGTGCCAAAAAAATGTATACTACATTTGAGCATATCAGGAGTGCACATGAATTTTTTCAGATTTTTCACCACGGAAGATTTTCGAGAAAATGATTATTAAATATTGACAGTTTAACACGGTCTGTTATTAGAAAACAAGGTTAGGTTGCCTTTTAATTAAAAATAACGGTATATTATAAATGTATTAGATTTAAAAAAACGTTTTTATAGATGCTTTAGTACAAAAGGAAGATGCTCAACAAAAAAAATCACGACTCGCCAGGCATTTTTCCAAAATATAATCAATTACAGCCGTACAGATACAAGTTTATAGAGTGCAAGAGGAGGTGCGCGGTAAAGGGGGCACACCTGCGCGGGCAGGGGGGTACAGAAGCGCCTAAGCGCCACCTAGCCCACTACCCCGGAGCTAGAGCTAGCTAAGATAAAGTAGGGTATAGTGGGACAACTCATAAAATGGCGGGAGTAGTGGGACAGTAGAGGAAAATGAAAATTTACGTGCATTTACTTATGGGTGATATTGAAAGTAAAATTGGATAAACATTCTGATGCTTTTAAGTAAATAATCACTGCAAAAGCGCCATTTTTTTGCAATTCTAATGGAAAGAAAAAAATTAACAAATGTTAGATGTCCAACTATTGCTTCAATTACTCTATTTTCAAGCACGTTTTGAAGAGCAACGCTGTAATCTTAAAGTAGTAAAAAATCCCAGTAAACATGTATTGATTTGCTAAAAATTACTTGTAACTATTTTTTAAATATTAATGAAAAAATTCCAAAGTTATTTAAAAAAAAAATTATTACATCTACTATATTATGGGTGTCTAAGTATACCCTCCACTTATACTGTAAGGCGGTAGTAGTGGGACGAAATTTTGCTCTACTGTCCAAGTATACCCTCTTTTGTAAAAAGTTATGCAGTACTGGAACGCACAGATGATTTAACAGCTGACTTTAACAATGTTTGTTATTATTCTGTGCTCGATAATAGTTTAAAACAACTTTATTACTTATTTCCATTAACTTGTTGAATTCAATGCGTAAAAAGAGTGGGAATAGTCTTTTGTGAAAAACTTTCTTTTGTAAGTACATGTAACCGTAAAACTAACCTATCTTCTGATTTGTAAATAAACAAGGCTAACGTAATTTTACAAGACAAACAGTTTCATTAATTATTAAATGTAATATTTCAGTGTAATCTAGTATTGCTGTTAAAATGGTTAAAAAGAAATTGCAAACAANGGGAATAGTCTTTTGTGAAAAACTTTCTTTTGTAAGTACATGTAACCGTAAAACTAACCTATCTTCTGATTTGTAAATAAACAAGGCTAACGTAATTTTACAAGACAAACAGTTTCATTAATTATTAAATGTAATATTTCAGTGTAATCTAGTATTGCTGTTAAAATGGTTAAAAAGAAATTGCAAACAAAAGAAAAAAAAGATCAAAAACAAAATAAAGTCAAACATAAAGAGAGGACTGTCTTTAAAAAGAAGCCAACAAAAAAATTACAATCTTCATTTAAAAATAGAATTCGTGAAAAAAATTACACAATTAAGGCTATGAAAGATGCTATGAATGCAGTCGAACGAGGTAAAAGTGTCAGAGATGCAGCAGTGACATTTGGAATCCCTAAAAGTACTCTGCATTCTAAGCTCAAGTATACATCACCGTTGAATGCTAAAAAAGGACCCAGGACAGTCCTGACACCGAATGAAGAAACTGAAATCGTCAACTGGCTAATCACTTGTGCTGAAACAGGTTTTCCAGTTACCAAAAATCAAATGTTGGATTACATCCAGAAGTTTTTAAAAACTTGCAAAAGGAAAAATCCTTTTACAAATGATAGACCAGGTAAAGAATGGTACTCTAGTTTTATGAAAAGGCACACCAACCTAAGTGAACGAATAGCTCAAAATCCAACTACCAGTAGAGCATTACTGAATGAACAAGATATTAGGCTCTGGTTTGCAAAAGTTCAAGCCGATTTGGATTCAAAAAATTTGACTGAGATTGAACCTATGCGAATTTTCAACTTGGATGAATCTGCCTTCATGTTGGTGCCAAAGGATAACACTGTGTTAACTAAAAAAGGGGCCAAATCAGTCCATCAGATCGTGGGCAAGAATGAAAAAATGTGCATAACAACTTTGTTCATAGCCAGTGCTTCTGGAGTCTTGCCTCTTCCAATGGTCTTATTTAACTTAAAATATACACCCAAAAAGGAGATTTTATCCAGGATGCCTAAGGAGTCGGGTGTTGGCTATTCAGATGGAGGCTGGATGACTGCAGACACATTCTACAATTATGTGGTAAATGTATTTTACAAGTGGCTTGTCAAAAATCATATACCATTCCCAATTATTCTTTATGCAAATAATCATTCGTCCCACGTATCAATACCACTGTTAAAGTTTTGCCAAGAAAAAAAGGTTGAGTTGATTGGGTTGTATCCAAATGCAACATCTATTCTGCAGCCCTTAGATGTGGCTCTCTTTCATACACTCAAAGAAAATTATAGACGTGTTTTACGTCAATGGAAAATTGACAATGACATTGTCGATTTTCAGAAATCAATGTTTCCTGAAGTCTTACATCTGGCTTTAAAAGATTATGATTATTCTAAAGGCATAAAGCACGGATTTGAATGATGTGGCTTGTACCCTTTGGATCCCAATGCATTCAACTATGATTTACTGAATAAAAGTTCCTAAAAAATAAAATCCAAAGTTATCGAAGAATCCAGGAGTGATTTGGACTATGATAATAATCAAAGCTTGTTGCATATTTTTGAAACCAACGTTTTGGATTCCCAGACTTTGCAAGTCTTTAAAAATCATGAACATAATGAGAGTTATATTGTAGACATTTCAAAAAAAGAACTGTTTTTTTTTTTTTTGGAAAAAAATGAAAAAAATGGTTAAACCCGGTATGTATTAAAAATTATTTACAATTCGACAGTTATTAAATCTATTTTTGCTCAATATTAGATTAAAATTTTTTTATTAACGATTGTTTTTGCACTATTTACAATTTTTATGTACAATATTTATTTACGATTTCAAGTTGTTAACAGTGTGTCCCAATAATAGTTTATAAAATATTTAATTTTAAATTCGAACAATTAGTTAATAAGTACTTTTTTTATTTACTAACAGAAATTTCTCAAAAATCCAACTCATTTGTTCAGGATGATAGCTGTGATATGAATAGTACATTAAATATCAATAAACCCAAAAAAAACCAAAAATAAAAAGTATTAGTAATCTTACGGATAAGAATAAGGATACCTTGGGTGTGAAAAACCTATTATTAAGTAGAACAAAGAGTCCATAGAATGATCTCCAAAATATGAGTCTCATTCCTATTAATGCATCACTTTATCCTACTGATCACGCTTATTGTATAAATAGTACTAACGAACATATTTATGCAAACAGTGAATTAACAGAAAGTGATAAGATAGATGACGTCGTGGGCGATACCAGTGTGCAAATAATAGAATATATAATTGAAAATGATGTATACCAATGTGAGACTGTACCAGTTATCGATTTATCGTCAGTTCGAGAAGTAACAGTAGTATCCAATACTTGTACAACAGGCAATTCGGATTTGGGCTGCAGTACTACTGAGGCTCCCACTCTTATTACTAGTCTTTTATACGCAGATAATAATGAATTTAAAACAACAAATGACACTGACAGTATGTAAAATTCATCATTCAACTAGGAATATGATGTAATGTTAAACTCAAAAACCCAATATCTTAATCTTTTAATGCTTCAGATTTATCATTGGCAGATCGTCTAATTTACTCTGAAAAAGATTCTAATGACTCGACCTGCAATGAAAAATTGCATGAAGTTCATGACACTTTAAATAACCAAAATAATAATGAAAGCCCAGAAATTAAGAGCACTTATCAAACTCAACTTAATTTTTATTTCCTCACATACTCTATATTTATTTACTTACATTTCTTATGCTTCTGTGTCAATTCAAAACGTTTTCTCATTTCAGAAACACAAGAAAATTCTTCTATCCTAAAAAATATTTTCAACACACCTAAAACAAACATTTTATCGAAACATAGGCTTAATAAAGATATGCCCCCCGTAGCTGTCGTTGATGAGATGTTAAGTTACTTAGAGAAAAAAAAAGAAACCAAGAAACTGAAAGAAAAACAAATTGTAGATAATAAACAAAAAAGAGAGAAAAACAAAAGAGTACGAGAAAAACAACAATCTTTAAAAAAAACTTTTCAAGAAAATAAAAAAAAACTTTTGGAGAAAAAAAAAATCTCAACGAAAGAATTAAAAGCATAAAGAAAAACATAAAGTCAGCAAATCAA